ACATTCCATTATAGTATGGCCTTGGTCCAAACAATAGCATCATACAACCGTAAATCCGTTGTCGACCTCCACGTATTTGTACATTCACGTTTGTTCAAGTATTTTCTATCCTACAATTTGATTTTATAAAGATATGTAATCTTTGTTATTGTAAAACTACAGTGGTGATGTTCCTAAAGCTTATAGGAGCCTTTAACAGACGGTAAACTATTTATTGGTTTTCACATGGGTGAGATAGACCTAATACTTACGTTAATATGTTTCCTGTACTTCTCACATTTTACTGTCAAGCTGTAGATAATGCATGTTTTCTCGGGAACACAGCCAGGCAGCATACCACACCAGATCGATAAGTACTGTACATATTAGTTATCAAGTTATCTTCCGTCAACCTACATACCAAAAATCACATATGAATGTACAAGTAACTACATATCTATGTCATCAACCCTTATTCTTTTAGACGTCGAATTACGTCTCATATTAGGAGAACTACATCATTCATCAGATAGCAAATTTTGTCTCTCAACAGACGCTGTTTAATATCTAAGCAGGCCCTACCATGCAAGGAACAACAGTTCTCATTTGGTATTAAAGTATAAAGGAACACAATTAAGTCCTGAAACCTAGAAAATAAAACGCGGTTTATTTTTTTCAATTAAAAAACAAGTGCGGGTTCATACATTTAAGGCACTACAAGCTTATTTTCAGGGTAGGCTTATTTTCAAATCGGCTTGTTTTCAACATTAGTATCTCTTCATAACAGGCCTCAAATAATGTTTTACAAATACATCTCTAAATAAGCGTCAAGTCACATCTCCCAATAGGTCTCAAATGATATTTCTCGATAGGCTTTAAATCACATTTCTAAATAAGCGTCAAGTCACATCTCCCAATAGGTGTCAAATGATATTTCTCGATAGGCTTTAAATCACATCTCTAAACAGGCGTCAAGTCACATCTCCCAACAGGTGTCAAATGATATCCTTCAGCAGGCTTTAAATCAAATTTCTAAATAAGCGTCAAGTCACATCTCCCAATAGGTGTCAAATAATATCCTTCAGCAGGCTTTTAATAGCATCTCTAAATAAGCGTCAAGTCACATCTCCCAACAGATGTCAAATGATATCTCTCAACAGGCTATAAATCACTACTCCCAGTTCGAGTCAAATCACGTCTTTCATTAGTCATCAGTTCACATTTCCTAACAGACGCTAATTCCAAATTCCATTTGAGTGTTTTATATCGTGTACTTAAAGAAACTGTCCTCGGATTCAGTGACATTAAATCAAAACGCTTATAAGCCATCAGATCCAGTAACGACAACATCCCTCCATCCTATTGACCCTTCTGCGTGCAACCCCATATAGATAACTCAATCACCCCCTTTTTCCGTTTAAACAACTTGTAAATTATTTTGATACAGAACAAATAAAGAGATAGCTGTTTGTTTCCCCAACTTACATCACTCCCCCACCTCATCCACCCCCTCCCCCGATCTGATCCACCAATACATGCGTATAACTATCAGGTCGCGATCGGGTCACGTCCAGAAATTGCCTGTCACCATCTGTTCGTCATCACAAGCACCGGACTGTGGCTAGCCATTGATTAATGTTGTAACTAATGTCAACATATCTAGTAAAGCAACGATCCTGACTTAGGACACTGGCCAGGATTTTCTTATCCAAAATTAAACAAATAGTTTTATATGTTTCACAAAGTTTTGCTGGGCTCGCAGTTCCCGGTAACATTAGAGTCGCGTTTATTCTTCGCACAGCCAACAGAAAGGAAAATAAATTGTTACCAGTACCTGTGGCAGGAATTATTTAATAATCTTACGAAAAACTCAGAAAACAAACAAACAAACCAACAAAAAACTGTTCCGAGGAAAATGATTTACCAATGAACCACAGAGAAAATTTAAAAAAAAATGATTTTTTTTTTAAATGTGAAAACTGCTTAACCACGTGCCTTTACAACGTATACATTTCCTCGCCATCAGCTGGTCGTAATGGTTGATGTTTAAAAACGTGCTATAGACAATTTATAGTAAATTGTGACCGAAACATGAGCGCTTTTTTTCGAAATCTTTCGGAGGGTAATAAAATAATCCCGGCGTTCATCTTCAAAGCACTAAATTCCCATAAGAGTATTGGAAAAGAAGATAAAATTTTTTTTAAGAACCTGATATATTATGCAATCAACACTTTGTAAAATATTTTTTTATTGCGGTAAATCATTCCTCTTTTGTAGATATAGATATACTTTCCAGTCAAATCTCAGTAAGAATCTGAGAACGTGTGTTTACAGTTAAATTTCTAAATTGCAATTTCGACTTTCAAAATGGCGAAATTTAATCTTTATCTTTCTGATTGAAATCAGTTTCATTTAGGCACAGAGAAATATTGTTTCCTGGATAATCAAACATTCCTGGTTTTAAGCTACAACTTGCACACAATCTTGAGCATGATCACTTCAGCAAAACATATTGTCTGTTTTTACAGTCATTGATTGCAAAACATGAAAGGCAAAAATAAATATGATTTATAAAGTGAAATCGAAGTATTTGAAGCAATTTCATCGGTTAAACATTCAATACTATCCTTGTTATGGTGAAGTTTGAAAAAAATAAGTTCGTTCAGTTCTAAAAGTTTCGATTTGCAGTCTTGTAAAGATTCTAAATCAAAATAAGTAAAATTAGTTATTCATTATCGGTGGTTACAAAAGTAATCCTTCTGATGGAACAGCCACTATCGATGGTTACAAACGTAATCCTCCTGATGGAACAGCCACTATCGATGGTTACAAACGTAATCCTTCTGATGGAACAGCCATTATCGATGGTTACAAAAGTAATCCTTCTGATGGAACAGCCACTATCGATGGTTACAAACGTAATCCGTCTGATGGAACAGCCACTATCGATGGTTACAAACGTAATCCTTCTGATGGAACAGCCATTATCGATGGTTACAAACATAATCTTTTGATGGAATAGACATTGTCAATGGTTGCAAACGTAATCCTCCTGATGGAACAGCCACTATCGATGGTTACAAACGTAATCCTTCTGATGGAACAGTCATTATCGATGGTTACAAACATAATCCTTCTGGTGGAACAGCCATTATCGATGGTTACAAACGTAATCCTTCTGATGGAACAGCCATTATCTATGGTTACAAATTAACCCTTCTGATTGAACAGCCACTATCGATGGTTACAAACGTAATCCTTCTGATGGAACAGCCATTATCGATGGTTATAAATTAATCCTTCTGATGGAACAGCCACTATCAGTGGTTACAAATGTAATCCTTCTGATGGAACAGCCCCTATCGATGGTTACAAACGTAATCCTCCTGATGGAACAGTCACTATCGATGGTTACAAACGTAATTATTCTGATGGAACAGCCATTATCGATGGTTACAAATTAATCCTTCTGATGGAACAGCCACTATCAGTGATTACAAAAGTAATCCTTCTGATGGAACAGCCCCTATCGATGGTTACAAACGTAATCCTTCTGCTGTAACAGCCATTACCGATGGTTACAAACGTAATCCTTCTGATGGAACAGCCATTATCGATGGTTACAAATTAATCCTTCTGATGGAACAGCCACTATCAGTGGTTACAAAAGTAATCCTTCTGATGGAACAGCCCCTATTGATGGTTACAAACGTAATCCTCCTGATGGAACAGTCACTATCGATGGTTACAAACGTAATTATTCTGATGGAACAGCCATTATCGATGGTTACAAATGTAATCCTTCTGATGGAACAGCCATTATCGATAGTTACAAAGTAATCCTTCTGATGGAACAGCCACTATCGGTGGTTACAAACGTAATCCTTCTGCTGTAACAGCCATTACCGATGATTACAAAGGTAATCCTTCTGATGGAACAGCCACTATCGGAGGTTACAAACGTAATCCTTCTGATGGTACAGCCATTTTCATACTGTATAGTCGCATAAGACAGTGAAATTGTATTCATGAGCATTAACTAGTAAGTAAATCAGTTAATGCACTTATATTGATTAAGGTAATTAATTTGCTTGATCAAATTTTGTTTCATAAAGACACATCATAAATTATGATATCCATCAATTTGACCTTGACCTTCCCCTGAGTAAAAGCTTTGACCTTTCAACTGGAGGTCACATGTTTCTATCTCTGACTTTCCAACTGATGACCATGACCTGGGTAAGCCAGTACTTGTGAGATTATGATCATTCCATTAGCAAAACAAGACAAAATGTGATAAAGAACATTCACATTTATTACAAAAAAGTGAGAACATACTTACAAACAATATAAACTTTTACAAATACTTTTTACAGTAAACATGTAAATATATATAGTTACCGGCTGACTGCTGGTATTTATAGAACAGCATCCAACACATGATAGTAACAATGTCCTGTCTGTTTTACCCCAAATTGTTTGGATTGATCTGTAAACAGGTATTCTATTTCTTCTTTATAAATTTTCGCCCTATTTGTCGGCTCTTACACATAATTTTTATCTAGAAAAGGAACATCAGTAAAGAAATCCCAATTTTCAAATGACACATGTCAATAACAAATTGGTCCAGTGATGCCATGCTCACTCCTCTCTGATTCAATGGTGTCAGAAATGACATGTCAATCCTAACATTTTCTACAGTACAAGGATAAGGTGAGTGAGATGTGTCACAGATAAGTCTGGTGATATAGATGAGTTTATTGTTGACATGTGTCATTCCGAATTCACTGCTTTGATTTAGAGTTTGTAATGATTGACATGTGTCACTCCTAATTCACATCTCTGATTTAGAATATGTAATGACTGACATGTGTCACTCCTAATTCACTCCTCTGATTTAGAATATGTAATGACTGACATGTGTCACTCCAAATTCACTTTTCTGATTTAGAGTTTGTAATGATTGACATGTGTCACTCCGAATTCACTTTACTGATTTAGATGATTTGATGACTGACACATGTCGCTCCTAATTAACTACTCTGATTTAGAGTTTGTAATGATTAACATGTGTCACCTCTTATTACTCCTCTAATTTAGACAATTTGATTGTTGACATATGTCACTCCAAATCCAGTCCTCTGATTTAGAAGAGGTGATGACTGACACATGTCACTCGTAGTTTACTCTTCTATTTTTGAGGATGCACCATTTTATACATGAACAGATCCTATCCTTCCTTGACACAGGGAAATTAAAACGACATATGCCAATTCTCATTAAGTCTTCTGCAGAAGGTATTTTGGTGGTTGACATGTGTCAAATGCCTTGATGTTGATAGCTAGATCATTACCTGATTGAAATGTGTCAATCCTAAATAAACTGCTCTGATGTACATGTAATGAATGACTTTTATCAACCTGAGCACTTTCTGTGACACATGAATATTAAAAATGACGGATGTCAATGATAGATCAGGCAGATGATGATGGTGATATAATGAATGACACGTGTCAATCTGAGATTTTTTTTTTCCAAATGTAACTTATGTTACAAGTGACATATGTCAATCTGAGAGTGTCACCTGATGATGTTGATGATAAGTAGAATTATACTGGAGACTGCTGTCCTGGCTAACTCACCAACCCTGTAACATATAATAAATATCAACAATTAATTAATGATTAAACCTTATATAAACCTACTGAAACAAAACAAAATATATTTCAAGCTTATTGACAAGATAAAAAAATGATTTTTTTTCTGCTTTGCAATTATGTGACATGGCATTTCTTCTCTTATTTATCTATATTTATGAAATTGATTACCTTAAACAATATATATAGAGAATACATGGTCAGTGTCTTAATATATCAGCTGTATTTTGGCTAGGGTGAAGAAAGACAAAAGTAACGCATCTCCAGAGAGCCATTCTTGTCTTCTGTCCCAAGCTTATACAGTTTTTTGTTCAATCTTTGATTACCTGACATTAACGTTAATACATTGACCAATTTTACCTGATGACATATGGCAAAATAATTGCTCTGCACAGAAATATAGTTCAAAACTTCAATAGATATGACACTGGTTTTATTAATTTTCGTTAATAGATTTGTTCATTACAACATATATACAGGTAATCACTTATTTCAACAGTTATTTATTTTGTTAAATGTAATTTTAAATTCAATTCAGAAAGTAATTCTCTCAAATTAACATAAGTGCTAAAATACAGCTGTTTTTTGTCATTGCAGAATACAGCAAAAACGTAACGAGATGGGTGCATTCCAACCATGGCAGGGACAGTCACAGAATATATATATTTTCTTATGAATTTAATACATCTCTGTCAACAGATAATGAAATGTAACCAATCCATCATTGGTCCTTTGGTATCTGATCACAATGACTTGACACAAATTTCCATGTATATTCACTGGGGTTGGGAAATTGTGCCAAGTTCCTGTGTATCTGATATAACTGTGTACAGGTTACATTGGTTAACAGTATTTATCTCCAGTTAGACACATTGGACACAATGATATCATTCAGAATTACTTTATTCTTATCAAGGCCACAGGAGTTTGAAAATACAGACCAATTCAAATTTGTTGATATTGGAACATTCTATATTAATCGATAGAATTTCACATTTTAATTTCTTTTTTTTAAGTCCGGCCCTTTAAGAAATATTTTGGTAATAGATACCTTAGTATAGAGTCAAGGTCATAACATCAAGGTCAAGGTGAGGTACCATGTTTCCTGACTTGTAGTGCTAGAGAGATATGGGTGTAAAGATGATAGCTACAGACCGATACAGATCTACAACATCTGGTCAGCTACAGATGAGTATCATTGTGTAGACACATGTCAGTCATCAGCTATATGGTATAATATCTGGCATCAACCCTTCAAACAGCAATAACTTAGTCCAAACACTTCCTCTGGCATGCTGTATATGCCCTGTGTAACAGGCAGATGTCTCTATATCTGTTTTCTGTAATTTTTATGAAATTTCTTTACTGCATCTGTACTGTATGTTTCTCTAACTAGTTTTTGAGGGAAACGATTATTTTGTTTTTTGGTAAGTTGTGCTTTGGGTTTACCTCTTTGTAATAAATGAATTTAAAGAATGTATAGAGTTTCAAAGACTAACATCCAGACAGCTGGGAGGTATAACTTGTTTACATTCAACTGTCAGAAAAAAAAATTTCAGCACAATTCCACTAGACAAACATTAAGCTAACAATGCATTTATACAGAGACCAGGTGAGTAAACAAAGTTGTAGGAACACATCTGGTGTGGTGCTGGTGTTCCTACAGAAACTGATTATACTCTATGTCTGACCACTGGCCTGGACTGCTGGGTTCTCCACACAAAGTTGTTAGAAATACCAGAGAATCACATATATTTAAACAAATACAAAAAGCATTACATTGTAATGTACAGTCTGCTTAATTAATCTTGCCTCAACCTACGAAATAAGACAATAGTTACTCTTGGTTCCTTTGACCTTGTGCTTGTAACCTTCCAAACTTATCGATTCTTATTATGTAATCTTTTCATTGTCTTATAATCAGTAGCTCTGTTGCTCTACTCAGTATAACTGTATCTTTTGATATCATCTCCCTAACTTCCTTAACCTTTAGTAACACTCAACATAACCTTATCTTTTGATATCATCTCCCTAACTTCCTTAACCTTTAGTAACACTCAACATAACCTTATCTTTTGATCCCATCTCCCTAACTTCCTCCACCTTTAGTAACACTCAACATAACCTTATCTTTTGATCTCATCTCCCTAACTTCCTTCACCTTCGGTAGCACTCAACATAACCTTATCTTTTGATCCCATCTCCCTAATTTGCTTCACCTTAGTAACACCCTTGACCTTAAGTTACATTCAGTATAATTTTATCCTTTCCATACCAACACCCTAAGGATTACAGCTATGTGCTCAACTTGCTTATGACCTTGAGCTCTATTGCATGCAATTTCTGTATAACCTTGTTTGAATTACTCCCTAGCTCTTGTGCAGCAATCCTTCCGTAACAAGCTATGCTCAAACTTTTGTAATATTTATTACTCATTTTTAATTACTATGACCTTGAGCAACCTTCTTACCCCCAGCCAAATTTTCTCTTTTCCACTGACTCTAGACCAAAGCTAAGGCTGCTTCCCAACCTTCCCCAGCCTTTATAGCCACACATATCTTCCAACTCTGCTCCCTGGCTCCTGAGCAGGTCCATCACAGCCAGCCTTTCAGTCTAGTTGCCATGTGGTGTTAACATGCGGTTCTTTAAGTGCCAGGAGAGAAGACCATTGCCTTAATGTCCTAGCCAACCCTAGTCCCCGTCCCAATCAATTGTGTAGCCAGCAGAGACAAATTAGATTGCACTAACTCTAATTCTCATGATTAGATAAATAAAAGTAGCAATACGCTCGCATCCCAACATCTTTTAACTGGATTAAATGAGAGAAGTTTCTCTTATCCCTGCCAATTGATCCCAAGGATTTCCTCTCAGACAGTGTCTACACCCCTTCAGACAAACTTTAGTGGACCCTCATGAAATGATAGGAGAGTCCAATATTAGTTTTTAAGGGGAGGACAACATTTGATTGATTGTGTGCATTTTGGATGATGTCATTGTGTTTTCAACACCAACCAATCACAATAAAGGAAATTTTTCTATTATAAACAAGACCACTTTGATGTTGTTCGACAAATAATGAATAAAAGCTGAACAGTGAAATAAATTCACTTTAAACAAAACTTACAGTTGCATCTATAAAAAATCTATCATCTTTTTCAATGTGCACAGCTGCAGTTTAAAGCTGTGACATGACCAACAAATAACATGCCATATTTGGCTGTCAATATGGATGGACCACCTGCGGCCATATGTCTCACAAACGCATCCTTTATCAGAAACAATGACTATAAGTTCCACCCACATGTCCAGGAATAGTTAATTATAACACAGAGCTCTATTTCTGGACAATTATTACTGTCTTAAATAACATAACAATATAAATATCACATTTTCATCTCCCTTTATGTATTTGATGGTGATGGTTTTAAACTTTCTCCATAATAAAATATCAACTAACGAATCAAAGAGGTCTAATTATGTCGTGCTGTACAATTTGTCACAGCAGGTGGAAAATTGAGTAAATCTACTCGAGCATTGTCTAATAAAATATTTCATTACTATTAATATATGCCATTAATTCCCATATTGACACATGCGTAGTAATATACACTCCATTACCATTTGTAACCAAATCACACATTTCAATACTGCCCTCGAAAATAAACCACAGAAACAATATTTTGACACAGAATTGAAATATTACTTGAAGATACATTTTCTTGTCATGATTATGGCAACCCCTGTAAGATTCATGTCATAGTAAAGTTTTATAAAACGAATTGAAAGAAATATTCAACAATCAATTCACACTTTTTTTTTATTAATTAATATCGCCTTGAAAACTAGACCTATAGAATCTACTTGTGAATTTTAATGAAATATCACCTCAGACACATGTATACCGGGGGCGGGTACTTGTTTTCAACCAGCTAGTGCATTTTTGATTTTAAAACTTTTGGTATTGCCTGTCCCTCTCAAAAAGAGCTTGAAAAATCAGTGAATGTATGACCTAGCACTTAAAACGTCTTTGTAACAAATTACAATTTGTCCATTTTTTCAGGGTAAAAGAAAACTGTTACAATATTCAGATTTTTAAACACACAGCAGGTACCAAAATAACATTTCTCAATCACTGCCGTTGATGAAGGTAGCTTTTAAGTTGTGATCCACGATGTGCACAAATTCAAACATGGCAGGTTAAAACCCAAAATACAAAAATATGCGTTGACTTCCTCTTTTAACTTATCAGGATATTAGAAGAATTTGGGAAAAAATCATTGTTTTTAATACTGAGTGGGTCAATTTGATAATATTAGGCAAGTATGAAATTGTACAGTCAAGAGATATGTTTTCCTATAGCTGAATTTATTTCCAGGGACATGTGCTGAGAAACAAGAATTAATTCAATTGTCGCTGGCTATATCAATATCAAGCCGGCATGTACTTGACAATTCATTATTACAGAAGCTCACGAATTGAGATGGAAATGAAGGGTATTGCACTGGTATTAACAAATGGAAAAATCTGTCATCATAACCTGTTATCTTATATCAACAACTTTTCAATACTATCGTAAATCTGACAGTGCCTCGAAAACGGAATTCAATTCAGATATTTTCCATTCATGCAAATAATAACATGCGAATGCAGGTCGGCTATTTATTCCCGGGCATTGAAAGTATCACCTACACGGAATCCCATCCCGACCAATCACCCTATGTCAAGATTCCACCGAGCTGTGTTCATTAAGCAATTTCATGAAAATCCTATCCACATGCCTCCAACTCTGGTATTGATTCTTGTCCAGAGTGTAGAATACACACTATTGACCCCTGAACTTAGCAATCAACAAGAGAAAAAACATTCTGATATAAAAAAAACTGTAAGAAGAAGAAGTATAGTTTGAAGAAGGACGGATCCTACCTCGAACATGACTGGAGTGAACTTCTTACTCTTTGCTGATCTATATTTAGCAGTTATATAAATCAGT